CAATATTTAGCCAAATAAACCTTGATTTCATATGTATAGTACCTGGGCCTACCAATGTACAAAGTATAGGCGAAATCAAATTTTGAGCTCTGTCCGCCCGATCTTTGATCCTTACTGACATCAACTCTTAAAAAGAAAACATTTAATAATTTTGAACTCCTCTGGGATTAATCCTTTTATTACCATTAACCATCTATATTTTTAAACGAGTATTGCTTAGTTTTCTTCATGTGTAAGAAAGTTTAATATGAAAAGTAATGTCCACTGTCTTTGCTGTTGTTCAAGCACATACAGGGGTAGTGTCTTTGACACCTTGCTTAACTGTTAAGAGAAGGTGATGAAAGGATTAAGAGTATGGTTTCAATGGTGTTTTGCTACATGCATTACCTGTTGTGGTCCAGTTTTATCCTTGGTTTAAATTTTCTTTCCCTTTGTTTGAAATCCATTATAACACAGTTCACATGTACATTACCATAACGCACAACAAAGGAAAATAAAATTTCAACCAAGGATAACACTGAAACATAACAGTACCTGTACATCTAAATAAGGTACACAGAAGTGTATTGTTCCTTTTCTAGAGATATTTAGTTATAAGAATACAATATTTTCAGTTAATCTTACATGTTCATGTATATATTTACGGAAGGCAGATATCTATTTGATTGAGACAATGGATAAGACAATCATCACAATCACATACAGATTCACAGTAGCTGCAACATAGATGACCAATACATGCTTCACTTGAAGCATCAAGACAATTCAAAGGAAATTTTCGTAGACAAGAGTCCTCTAGGCGACAAAATTGGCGAATGTCATTGCTCATACCTTCTCGATTTTTTGCAATGTCTCTGTTGTTGTAATAGAGCACTGCCTAAGATTGTTTTCCATCACGGCCTGCACGTCTTGTTTCCTGAAAATATTCCCTTATAGTCCGTGGTGGTCCTACATAAATGATGTTTCTGATTGATGGGATGTCTACACCCATACCCAATGCAACTGTAGCAAACACAACCCTAATGGTTGATGTTGGAGATGAATGTTCCTTTAAAATCAGCTCCTTCATAGCTGTTGTTTGTGGGGCATGGTACTGTGCAAAAAGCCTGTTCTCTGGAATTTTAGGCACACTTGCAATCGCATTACCAGGGCTTTGGAGTGAGTGATACTGGTCATCACCAAGCAGCATTTCAAAAAATTTAAATGAAAATCCACACCACCCTGAGGGCAAGTAAAAGATGGTGATGGGATAACCTACTGTTTTCTCTTTGAGACCAAGAGCAATTGGCTTCAAAATTTCTTCAAAGAAGTCCACATCCTCCCCTTTACGAAATAATTTCTTGTAGAAAATATTTGGCCGATTTGGATTCCCTATGACCTCTACAGGATTCTTTAAATTAAGAGATTCCTTTATTGCTTTCAAATCTCTTTTACTTGCTGTAGCGGTGAGTGCGACCACAGGTACAGTGGGAAAAGTGGCACACAGCATCGCCAGATTGGCATAATCCTTGCGAAAGTCATCTCCCCTGAAAAGCAAAATAAAGGATATTGTAAACTTTTGTCCTTTCTGCTTAAGTCAGATACATTAGGATTCACCTAATTCTGAACTTCAACACATTACATTATTTTATGTATCTTTAGAGTAAATGCTTGTAAATATGTGTTAAAACAATATTTTTTTGTTAATATTTTAAATGCCTTGGAAAAAGTGTAGAAGAAAGGTGAAGTTGAAGAAAGTTCATGATGGTCAAGTAGACCTGAAGGAAACAAATGATGTTTTTCATACTTCAAAAATTTAATAATACCTTGGGGCTTTCATCCAATTATTGATGTTAATCAGTGCATTGAAAACTGCCTCCAGACACTTTACTTGTTTTGGTTTAATATTGATATTCCAGTAGCTGCTATTGACGATCGCGGACTGAAGGCAGCTATAAAACATGGCAGATCTCGAACGAGAAAAGTCTGCCTCGTATTGATGTTGAAAAAAATTTGTGGCGACAAAACTTTCAGAAACAGGGACCTTTCCTGGTTTTTTTTTCTCCAGGGAGACACGTGACCAGCGTTTTCCAGGGTCTCTCTCTCGCTCTCTCGCTCCATGGGGGTGGGTAGGAGAGAACCCTGGGAACGAGGTTGCTTCAAGAACTGGTAATTACGTCTAGTTTTACACATTTTAATACCAGTAAATGATGCAGTTGCAAACTATATGCATGCACAACACCAATTCAATAGCAAACACATTTACTTGTATTATAGCGACTAATTAAACTTAATAATTCTATAATTTATTGACTATTAATCTGTTGTGGACTGTATCTTTCCAGTGGCAAGTCAATAATTGACTGTTTGATACTGCTGACAGTTACGATGTCCTTCAGAGTCCATCTCATCGCACTCAGTCGAGAGTAAATAGCAGAACCTCAGGAAGTGTATCTCGGGCACATTTTACTTCCAGCAACACAACCAGCACAAGTACAAGAAGCAGCTCCCTTTCCATTACTGGCTTGGGTGCCTTTCCTTCAAGGCAATCCAGGATACCTGTTCCTATACCAGGTATACTCCCCCACATAACTGGATCTGGATCCAGTGTANAGTAGCTGCTATTGACGATCGCGGACTGAAGGCAGCTATAAAACATGGCAGATCTCGAACGAGAAAAGTCTGCCTCGTATTGATGTTGAAAAAAATTTGTGGCGACAAAACTTTCAGAAACAGGGACCCTTCCTGGTTTTTTTTTCTCCAGGGAGACACGTGACCAGCGTTTTCCAGGGTCTCTCTCTCGCTCTCTCGCTCCATGGGGGTGGGTAGGAGAGAACCCTGGGAACGAGGTTGCTTCAAGAACTGGTAATTACGTCTAGTTTTACACATTTTAATACCAGTAAATGATGCAGTTGCAAACTATATGCATGCACAACACCAATTCAATAGCAAACACATTTACTTGTATTATAGCGACTAATTAAACTTAATAATTCTATAATTTATTGACTATTAATCTGTTGTGGACTGTATCTTTCCAGTGGCAAGTCAATAATTGACTGTTTGATACTGCTGACAGTTACGATGTCCTTCAGAGTCCATCTCATCGCACTCAGTCGAGAGTAAATAGCAGAACCTCAGGAAGTGTATCTCGGGCACATTTTACTTCCAGCAACACAACCAGCACAAGTACAAGAAGCAGCTCCCTTTCCATTACTGGCTTGGGTGCCTTTCCTTCAAGGCAATCCAGGATACCTGTTCCTATACCAGGTATACTCCCCCACATAACTGGATCTGGATCCAGTGTAGGGCCAAGTGCAAGGAATGTGACTTTGGGTGCCATCCTTTCTTCAAGATCCAGTGGTACATTTAAAGACAGTTCATTAGTAGCAAGAGGTTTGATGACAGCTTCAACTCGCACTTCAGCAACTGCCACTGCTACAAGAAGTGTAAGGTCCCCACTAGCTATTTCAACTTCCATCCATACAGTGACAACAACAACATCGGTTTTGGGCACCAGGGCCCCTTCACGATCAGGTGGAACCTCATTAGTGGCAAGGGGTATGGTGACAGCTCCCATACACGCTTCAGTGAATGCCATAGGGACAGGAAGGGACCAGAACAGCAGGGTGAGGTCTTCACCAGCTGTTTCGACGTCCACTCATACCTCTGCAACTACTGCGGGGATGAGAAGGGACCGGAACAGCACAGTGAGGCCTTCATCAGCTGTTTCAACCTCCACTCGTACCTCTGCAACGGATACAGGGACGGGAAGGGATCGGAGTAACAGGGTGAGGTCTCCACCACCTGTATCAACCTCCACTCGTACCTCTGCAACTGATACAGGGACGGGAAGGGATCGGAGTAACAGGGCGAGGTCTCCATCACCTGTATCAACCTCCACTCATACCTCTGCCACTGATACAGGGACGGGAAGGGACTGGATCAACAGGGAGAGGTCTCCACCACCTGTATCAACCTCCACTCATACCTCTGCAACTGATACAGGGACGGGAAGGGACCGGAGCAGCAGGGCGAGGTCTCCATCACCTGTATCAACCTCCACTCATACCTCTGCAACTGATACAGGGATGGGAAGGGACCAGAGCAGCAGGGCGAGATCTCCACCACCTTTATCAACCTCCACTCGTACCTCTGCAACTGATACAGGGATGGGAAGGGACCGGAGCAACAGGGTGTGGTCTCCACCAGCTGTTTCAACCTCCACTTGTACTTCTGCAACAAGCACGGAGACCTTGATTGTGGGTGGTTGTAGCACTGTTTCAACCTCCACCGCAACAAGAGATTACCATTCAATCACAGGGGGGTCTAGATCTCTAACCAGTCATACCTCTGAAACAAGCACGGGGACCAGAACTGACCAGGGTAGTACCAGTAGGTCTCCACTAGCCATTTCAACCTCCTCTCATACCTCTGAAATAATCACAGGGACATCAAGTGGCCGTGTTGCCTCTGCACCTGACACATTTGGTGCTGATGCTGGTTTAACTAGCATGGTGGCAACTCCAACCACCACTGTTGCAACAAGTACCATTAGTACTAGAAGCAGACTAATTAATCCAGCATCAGCCAGCACTGTTGTTAGCTCAGAGGGTAGACATGGAAATGTTGCAAGTACTCCAACAAGCAACATCATCTCCAGCACAGTAAACTAGTAAGTGATGAACATAAAATTGTTGCAATTGTATATTTAATTTGATAATTAGATAATTTTGAATAACTCCATTATTAATAGATATATTTTAGTGATATCTTTTACATTTCCCCTTACATTATAATAGTTTTTATCTGACTTATATTTTCTTAATAGCTTTGTAGATATTTTTAGGGGGTCATCTTACATGAGGATTCAGTTCCTCCTGATGGCAGCCTTTTTGTATTGATTATTACAAATAAAGTTGTTATAAATAAATAAATAAATTTTCGTTGAATTTGCCCGTAAATTTTAAGGTTTATAATATTATCCAAAACCCGTGACAAAATGTAAACAAACTATTAACGCATCGGTTGTGCTCATAATTCATCGATCGATTCGAACACCAAGAAGTTTGTAAAAGGTAGAAATTCATTTTAAGTCAGTGCATTGAATTATTTACGGCAAAATCAACAACAATCATCGAGGATTTTTCAATTTTGAAGCGTTTAACAGCAAAAAGTCACGTGCTAATTC